ACTGCTAAGCAGACCATGTGCACCAAATGCTACCATTTAAGCAAAAAAATTATTAACAGTTAGTGACAGTATGTCTTGAACTCTGGCACTGAAACTTTCATTTTAAGGGGGAAATATTAAACATACAAATTCAGGGATGGCTTTTGTGAACTTTATATTGGCTGGACTATGTTAATAGAAAAAAAAATCAGTGCTTTATCCTGATGCCAGTGGCTCATGCCTGTAATCCTAGCTACTCAGGAGGTTGAGATATGCAGACTGTAGTTCAAAGCCAGTTCAGGCAGGAAAACTCATAAGACCAGTACCTCCAATTATCCACCCCCCCCCACAAAAAGCCTTATGTGGAGCTGTGGCTCAAATGGTAGAGTGCTAACCTTGAGCACAAAAGCTCGGGACAGTTCCCAGGCCCTGAATTCAAGTCCCAGGACCAGCATCACACAAATGAAAAAACAATACTTTTCACAAATATCAAATTAAGGTGAGAAAAGTATTAAAAAGTACATACCTTGATCTCACTTTTATTCTTTCCTTCCTCTTTTAAAAAGAATTGTTCATGTGGGGCTAGTGGTTCATGCCTATAATTCTAGCTATTCAGGAGGTTGAGATCTGAGGTTGGCAGTTCAAAGCTAGCCTGGTTGGGAAAGTCTGTCTCTTGTCTCCAATTTAACTAGCAAAAAGCTAGAAATGAAGTTGTGGCTCAAGTGGTAGAGCATGAGTCTTGAGCAAAAACGCTAAGGGAAAGCATCCAGGCCCTGAATTCAAGCCTCAGTACTGGTGAAAAAAAAAGAAAAATAAAGTTCAGAATTTACACAATTTCACAACTTTAAGTCTGGATCTTTTCGAGGGAGAACAATGGGGATGAAGTATGAGAAATATCTTTATAGAATATCTTTTCACTTGCTACAAATATGCTAATAATAAAGAAAATGAGGGGCTGGGTAGTGGTGGTTCATGGCCATAATCCTTGCTACTCAGGAGGCTAAGATTTGAGGATCTAGATGGCAGTGAGACACTTATCTCCAGTTAACCAGCAAAAAGCCAGAGGTACACACACACGTACACACACACACACACACACACACACGCATGCACGCACACACAAATACAATAAATAAAGCCTGATGTTGTACAGTGATAACATTCTTGTTTAGTATGTGTAGAACCCTAAGTTTAGTCTGAAACAACAAAGAAAGACTAGACTGGAAGGCTACCCAAATAAAGAACTTAAATGCACTAACTTAAACATTTAAAAATTTTGACCTATATACAATACATTAATTTTATTATCTCTGCAGTTTCTGAGGAACACCTCAGATGCATTATTGGAAATAGCATGATTACAGAACAATGTTTTTCAAGAACATAAGGTTAGTAACAATTCAAAAATACTAATATATGTATATATGCACATATATACACTTATGTATATACATATATTAGTATATATTAATCCTTAAGAACTAAAAAGTCTCACAGCTTTGAATATATAACCCATTTTCAAAGTAAAGAAACTTACTTTGTCAGTTTAATTTCTGAATGTGGCCCTGTGAATGAAACAAAGAAGTATGCAACCACCATAGGTTTTTTTGTTTTTTTTTGTTTTTTTAAAAAACCATATATACATCTTTCACCTACGAGCAGCATTACTAACATGCAGCATACATTACTACTGTAAAACTAAGACCATATAAAAAATGGCCTAGTTCTGGGGTGATTCATGCCTATAGTCCTAGCTCAAGAGGCTGAGATCTGAGGTTGTAGTTCAAAGCCAGCTAGAGCAGAAAAATCCATGAGTCTTTATCTCCAATCAACCAGCAAAATGCTGGGTTGGTGGCATGGCTTAAGTGATAGAAGATAGCCATATGCAAAACAAAACAAAACAAAAAAACAAGCAAAAGGCCCTGAGTTAAGCCCTGGTACTAGTATAAAAAAAAGTCATATATCTTTTCTATATGGTATATATCAATATATAGTTATAATTATCTATCAACTCCCCTAGTTCTTAAAATCATCTTTGACTCTGAAACAAAAGTAATGAGAGTACTGGACAAACTTTCCTGAAAGCTTTGGTCACTATTCATTAAAAAATATCTGGCATTTATAGTTGCTTATTATTTTTATAAATGTAATTTAGGAAGAAAAATTTTAATTATTTTTAAGAAGGGCCTGAAGAAACCTAGTGAAATGTTCTGTGGAGAAGTCTTTTGTTAGTGTAACTTCTGACCTTCTATATCTCTGGAAATCATGCAACTTGGCTAATGTAGTCCTTAAAGAATTAATCAAGCAGATTGTAAGGCCCTAGTTACAGTGGAGCCAGCCAATTATGAGTTGCTCAGAAATTCATCATTGGCATGTCCAACTACATTTTCCCACATGAAGATTAGCAAAAATATGTGGAAACAAGGTCCATTCCCACCCCAGCACAGCTACAATATGTATCCAGTGAAAATAGACAAAGTTTTGTCTTAGTAAAACAGCAATTTATTTGAGACTCTTTTGAGTTTAATACTTTTTTTCTGTCAACATCGCAAAGACTGCCCTTATTTAGCTAACACCCAACTAGAAACTTCTACATTCAAATACATTTCTTAATTCAAAGCACTAAAAGCACATGCCACAGCCTGATCTTATCAATAAGTTAATAAAATCCCCTAAGACCATCTTTAAGCCTTTACATTTTTGTGATGACACCTTCCAAAGCCTTTTCTGCAAAGTAAATAAATAAATAAATGAACTGAAAAGGGGCCAGAGTAGATGAAGATTGGTTCTCTAAGGAGAGGGCAGTGCTGCTTTTAAATAAAGACGCTCCTTTCAGATAAGCAGAATCAGATTCCACTTCATTTGGCTTCCTGGCTACCCTTACTGTGAACTCTCATACTTAACCCAGCAGGCTTCAAAGCAGGTGAGAAAATGACCTACCACTTAAAAGCAATTTTTCCTTTTTCAGGAATTCTGGCCTTGGAGAATATCAGCTCTGATATCAGCACATTCCACATCTCCAGGGATTTATGCAATTTTTTCATTACTCTATGTCTAATGTCAGACAAGGTTTTCATCTTGGCCAGGAGAAAAATCAGGAGGAAAAAAACTTAACTTGCTGGGAATGAAGTCTTATTCCACATAGCCTTATACCATGCCAAAAAAAAAAAAAAGGCATTAAACTTAATTAACTATCCTAGTTCATTCCCTTCCACTTACCTAAATTTGATTCACAGTAAGATTTTTAAAGAATCTTTAGCTTCAATCAAATGGCATCATTAAAAACCAATATTTATAAGACATTTTTGCCATTCAATAAAGCAGTTTTATAAATGCAATGCATCTTGCTCAGTGTCACCCCTTTCAACATTCTCACCCATGCTTCCAAACCCCTACCCCTCTATCACTCTTCTTAATTTTGTAGGATATACATTCAATTTTTAAACTGCATCCCCCCTTCTTCAGTCATCTACTCCCTCCTCTTGATATAACAAGCACATTTAGAAAAATTTGCCAGGTGCTGGTGGCTCACACCTGTCATCCAAGCTACTCAGGAGCTGAGATCTGAGGATCTCAGTTCAAAGCCAGCCTGGACAAGTAAAGTCTGTGAGACTCTTATCTCCAATTAACCATCAGAAAACTGGAAGTGGCTCTGTGGCTTAAGTTGTAGAGTGCTAGTCTTGAGCTGAAGAGCTCAGGGACAGTGTTCCAGGCCCAGACTGACAAAAATAAAAATATTAATAAAAAATAAAAAATTAATTTGCTCTAGCATGTAAGCTACTATAAAAGACATAAGATGAGAAAGACACAATGGTAACAAGAAATTTAGCTGTGGTGGTATAGTCCTGTTACTCTGAAGGCTGAGGTGTGAGGATATCCTCACACTTAACCTCCACGATCACTTGCTTAGCATGCACAAGGTCCTGGGTTTGATCCCCAGCACAAGAAAGTTTGAGCCAATGAGTTGAGACCAGCCTGGGCAATACAATATCTCAAAAACAAGCAAACAAACAAAACAAATAACAGATGAAAGAGGAAAAGAAATAATTAGGGTATTTTCTTAAATGCCTTTCCCTTACTAATAGAAGAACAAACATGTCTCAATTAGACTTCAGCAATTTCTACTTTATTTGGTCATCATATATTACTGGACTTAATTGAAAATGGCTGGTATATAGCTCAAGAATGTACTGAGTTCAAACTCAGTTCTGAAAATGAGAGAGAGAGAGAGAGAAAGAGAGAGAGAAAGAGAGAGAGATCCCTAAAATAGGTAGTTTATGCCATATCAACAGTTTTGTTCTATAAAGCAATTTGCCAGTGTGCTATGGATTTTGACCATTTATCCTCTTTTTATGGTTCACAAACACATAATGTATCAGAGGGGCAGTACTTATAGTACTGTTTCCTGTCTCAAGTAATGATGACAGTGATGAACAGCAGCTAACACTTTTTCTTTAAACTGTGCACAGATGATTCTAAACACTTGATATATTCTAAACTTATTTAACCTTCACCAAAATCTATGCAGCAATACGATTTCATATTTTACAATTCAGGATAGAGAAAGTTAGGGTATTTACCTGAAGTAAAGCAAAGCAATCTGGCTCTAGGGTTTGCTGCTGCCCATCCCTGAACTTGGCAAGGTGGCACTGTTCAGCGTTTCTAAATTCCTTATATTGGTATGGTAGAGTTCAGCAAGGCTTTGTAAGTTTTAAATGTATACACAGGATTACATGGGGTTCTTGTTAAACCGCAGTTCTCATTCAGGTGAAGAATGACCCTCTAATTCAAGCCTTGCTCCTCGTCTGTCAAGGATGTATGTGTTGTGTTTACAAAGTGAAGACCACTCATACTACAATCATTTCTAATAACTCTTACATGGGATCTGATTTTATAATTGCTGCCTATTATTATTGATTTGCAGGTACTATCAGTAAAATACTTACCTTTTAGGAATTTTAAAATATACATATAAAGCCAAAGGGATAAATTGTGCCTGTAAAAGTTCATTGTCAGTGATATTTTAATATCATATATCATCAATTATACAAAAAGTGAATAAATGTTTATTGTTCATTAATCAGAATCACAGTATATCAATTTAATCTGAAAAGGAAGAATATTCTGTAAAATATGTAATTTTTCATTCTCAAGAGTCTCCTATAGAGTGCTAAGGAACTTAGGCCATCTCAAAGGCTTTTCAGTGCCATTAGTGACTTCTCTGGTAAATGAAATGGCTATGTACTGACACTGGTGGACAGAGCATATATTGAGTACATAACCACATTAAGTTAGCCAGTACTCAAAGAAATATACAACTAATAGCTGCTACACATCCATTCCAGATTCTAGATCTCTCTCTTTGCTCTATTTCTTTTCCTTCCCATTCTACTACCTTGAGAAAAATCCAAGAGTCACCTCACTCATTTGTTTGTTCATATCTTTTAAATACACAGTTGTACATTTTCCTCAGCTGTTAAATGGATGAAATTTTTCTCTCTCTAGTCCATTTTTTCCCTATACAGTGACGGCATTTCACTTGAGATATACATTTACTTTGCAGTCAGTACTACTGCAGGTAACAGAATTGTGATATAGTCTCTAAGTTTCCTTTTCATACTAAAACAAAGTAGAATAGTCAGTTTCCAATCCAAGTGTCTATACTCCATGAACAACATTGAGAAGTCATTCTTCTTGAATCCTGACCCAGAATCAAATGTATATTCAGACTCTTAGGCCTACAGCTAGAGGTAACTTAACACATTATACAGTTGATCTTCAGGGAAAAAGGAAAACCAGTGCTCTTACCACTGGTGTCAGAAGAAAGCCAGCTAACTTGTAAGGCACAAAATAAACTATTCTTAAGGCAGGAAAAGAAATTGTGAGGACAATAGGGAATTAAAATGGAGACATACAGAGAAAAATATAGAAAATACATTACCAAGTAAGGACTAGTTTTTCTATGGTTCTCATTGCATAATTTCTTTTATTTGTGAATATAGTGAAGCAGCATTTTCTTTTGGGTTTTAACTCTTATTACCTGATAAAGATGTACAAGAATGATGCATTTTTTAAAAAGACTTGGAGATTTAAAGGAAATCTTCTTTGGTAATTTTATCTTGAATCAGTGATGTTAATTAATAAATGTATATAGAGGATAAATAGCCAGGGATACCCTCTTTCATACCAGCCCTCAAATATTTCCTGGATCAGGAAATGGGAAAGTAGTTCAAATCTAAAGGGTAAAAATGAAAATAAAGACCTGTACATGGTTCTCTGCCCCAAACTGGGAAAGGTCAATAAGAACATGCAGACATAATAACTGGGAGAATTTCTAGGTATAGAAACACATTCTGTACCCAGGGCAAATGTCTCTCCTGTCCCATCTTACCTACTTATTCTCCATTCTAGTTGCACTCTTGAATTTAAAGTTCAGCAAATCTTTACAATTATTTCATTTAAATGGAAAAATTGGAAGACTTGTTTACAAAGGGGGCATTTGTTTGAATGCCAAAGAAAACAAACTAACTTTAAAAAATGATCTGGATTGCTCTTAATGTTTATAATGAATGCTATGTTAGTCACCAAAAGTGATCTACAGAGACCAACTTTATAATGTTATAGCATTGTATTCTTTAAACTTTTAAACAACAAAAGTATAGCTCAAATCACCAAAAATTCATGTTTCACATATTTATGGTGGTAACTTTACAAATCAATTCTTGTAATTTACTATAACATATAGCTTTGACTGCTCATCTGGGTTAGCATCAACAGACCATATATGGTTTCTTGTGTGTTTTACAAATACTCTACACAAGTCCTTGAGATCATACTTACAGCTTTAGCAAAAACACCCATGATTTCTGGAAACTGGTGGGTGAGAAAGGCTATCATTGCTGTAGAAGAACACAGTCCTGCTGTAAAATGGATGAAAAAAGGAAGCTCCTTCTTTGGATAAACAGAAACATGATGAAAGGCTGAAAGAAGAAAAGATAGGCATGAATTTTACTTCAGAAAATAATATAAATCATCTTACCATTTTCAAATTAAACATTTTTAAAAGCTATAAAGAAAAAAATTTTAAAGGCAAGAACAAGAAGTCTCTGACCAACCAAGGAAAATTTTCTGGCCATTATTTATTCTAGCATTAACAACATATCTACAAAACCAGATGACTGTTTGGGGGTCTGAAAACAGGATGGCATCGTGGGAACTAGCACAGCTTACAAAGTCATGCTGAGATGGTTTTGAAAAAGAGCTTTGTCTTTTGAAAGGAGCTGTAAGTTGCTAAACCCTGTATAAGTTGCTATGGAGTTATTATAATGAACACTGTAAGCACTTAATAAATGTGAGTTATTAGTTTTTGTCTTTTGGAAGCTTAGAGACTAGTGTAAAAAGACAGACATACCATGGGGATTTCCAGAAACATCAGTTTATAATGTTACCTAGCTGTTTTTTACTTTATTGTTTATTTTATTATTTATTTTTATATGTTCTGTGTGTGACATTTCACTAAGCACTGTAAATACTGAACTAGGAAACCAAACCCATATGTAGTTACCACATCAATAAGCAATTTCATTCTAATGCATATACCCAAGACCATTCAGAAAGTGTTCATATAGAATATTGTATATGACTATTCACAGCAACTATACTTTTATAACAAAAAACTGGAAACAATTTAAATGAACATCAACTGGTAAAAGCTAACTAAATCCATACAATGGAATACTATCCAGCCATAAAAAGTAATGAAATACTGTTATATGCTATAATATGAACGAACCTTTAAAATATTATGCTATGTGACAATCAGTCACAAAAGATCCTTTATTGTTTGGTTCCACTGACATGAATTTTCCCAGACTGTCAACTTGATACAGATACAACTTGATTAGGGGTTGCTTATGGGAACCCTGGGGAATGGGCCTGAGGTGGTGGTGTTTTTTTTTTAGACACCAGAAGTATTCTAAAATTCTATTATATACCTATATATTATGTCTACATAACTTTGTAAAGAGACCAAAAGTATCAAAGAGTACATCTGTGTGTGTGTGTGTGTGTGCACTAGTATTGGGACTTAAATTGTTGCTGTCTGGCCCAGGTGCTGTCCCTTAGCTTTTCACTACAGTATGTCCCTTTACTCCTACTTCTGAACATAAGAGTCTGACAGACTTTCCTGTCTGGGCTGCCTTGGAACTGCAAGCCTCAGATCTCAGCCTCCTGAGTAGCTAGGATTACAAGTATGAACCATCAGTGCTTCACTGCATCTTATTTTTAAAATTTATTTTTGCAGCGCTAGGGATATACCTCAATGACTTGCACATGGCTAGGTAGGTGCTCTACAATGAGCTATATTTTATTTATTTATTTAGTGCTGGCACTGGGCTTGAACTCAGGGCCTTGGATGCTGCCCTTAGCTGTTTTGCTCAAGGCTAGCATTCTACCACTTTGAACCACACCTCCACTTAAAGTTGCATACTTTTGCCAGCACTGGCAGCTCATGCCTGTAATCCTAGCTACTCAGGAGGCTAAGTTCTGAGGATTGGGGTTCAAATCCAGCCCAGAAGAAAAGTCCTCATGAGATTTTTATCTCTAATTAACCACCAATTAATCACTCAAAAACTGAAAGTGGCACTGTGGCTTACCTGATGGAGTGCTAGCTTTGATAAGGCTCAGGGACAGTGCCCAGGCCCTGAGTTCAAGCCCCACAACCGACAAAAAAAAGTTGCACACTTTAAATGAGTAAATTTATATTATGTAAGTTATAGCTCAATAGAATTGTTTCACATTAAAAAAGTCCCTCAGCCAAGGGATTTTATCTATAAATGAGGTCCCATATTTTACCACATTTACATACTCAAGAATTATTTTTTCTACTAATTACTTTATGGCTGATTTTATTCAAATACTTATATTTTCTTTCAATTTCTGAAATATTTTAATATACAAAGTACTTACTTGACACACAGTAGGTGCTCAATAAATTCCACTTAAACTGAAAGCTATACTGAGATTCCTTAGGCTAGCAAGTTGACAGCTCAGGGCTGGACACTAACCCAAGAATTCTGATGTAATATCCTGCATTTGTGAGGGATGACTAATTCAGTGGTGAACCGAGGTCAGCTATAAATTTTACTTTTTTAAACATAATGATTAACAGAGAAGGTTGCACCTAAACTTCCTTTAATAGCTACAATATTTTGGCTTATAGATATTCAGAGATTATATATCAAAAAACCAAATCCATTTTAAAAACTCCCAAAATTTTCCAGAGCCTTGAGCAGTATTTAAATGAAAAGTACAACAGAACTGATTTTTAAAACATTAGAAAATGTGTATAATATTTTGGGCTTTTCTTTTTTCTTTTTTTTTTGGCTATTCTCTTTTGGTACTAGGATCAAACCCGGATGTTACAATTGCTAGGCAAGTGATATAGATATATCCTAGCCCACACTGTGGTTTTAACACCCAAAGAACTAGCAATCCCTTCTACCCTATCCCTTAGCCATGACAGGCTGACTTCTCTCGGCAAACCAAGAGAAACCAACAATGGTACTTCAGAAAGCAAGGAATAAAATAGCAAAATTAATATTATTCATTAAAATCTTTTATAATTTATAAAGTACTCATTTGATTTTTCATAACCTAACAGATAATAGTATTTTATTCATTTTATAAGGTAGAAAACTTTCTATCTTTACTAATAAAAATTTTTTAAAATAAGGGATTTCTATACTGTAAGAAAGATGGAATTATTCTTTTTTGGATTGCTTTGTAGATTCATTTGTCAGTCAGTGTTTGGTTAATACATCAATATAATGAATGAATGACTAGTACAGAAACATTCCCTTGGAACAAAAGTTCAAATTTCAACACTGGGTTGTAGAGAAAATTTATCAGAGGCATAAAAGATGACAATAACTATGTTAACTAGGGGAATAGTTCCAATCTGAACTTATAAAGTCCATAAGCAAATTCCAGAATTCTGTAACTCCTATCAAGGCTGATGGAGAATTAAAAACAAAAAACATTAAGTACTCCTGAGTATTAGAACTCCACATTATTAAAAAATTATTCATCCTACCACAATCAGAAACAGGAAAAAAACTGCAAGGAAATATTTACTACCATAAGACAAAACCTTCCAGTATGTCCCTTTACTCCTACCTCTGGAGTGTACCTTGTATGGAGCTAGAATTAACTGATTTGCAAAAAACTAAAACTAAAACAAACAAAAAACCTGTTCAGTCTTGCAGCATATAGTTCTAACATAAAAAAACTCTCATAGTAACAAGTACATTTTCCCTTATATTAGTAATAATTTGCAAAAAAAAATTAACAATATGCTTTTTTGTGCTTGTTTTATTTTAAGTCAGTCTTGCTATGCATTCCAGGCTGGCCTTAAACTCATAATCCTCTTGCTTCAGCCTCCAGAGTGCTGAATTACAGGCACATGCTATCACAACCAGCATATTAATGTTCCAAAATTAAATATTCATTGTTTTCAGCTGGGTGCCAGTGGATCATGCTTGTAATCCTAGCTACTCAGGAGACTGAAATCTGAAGATCACAGTGCAAAGCCAGCCCAGGCAGGAAAGTCCATGAGTCTCTTATCTCCAATAAACCACTAGAAAACCAGAAGTGGCACTGTGGCTCAAGAGCAGTAGAGCGCTCACTTTGAGCTGAAGAGCTGAGGGAGAACGCCCAGGCCAAGAGTTCAAGCCCCACTATCAACAACAACAAAAAGATTCATTGTTTTAAAATCTTTGCTCCTTTTAAAATGAAAAAATTAAGAACAGTATGATTTATTTTTTCTGCCTTAAGGTATAAGATGAAATTTCTGCCACTAATGACCTCCTAATTGCCAAAATCAATAGATTTTTCTTAATAACTGTCTAACCTAATAGATCAGATATTTCTTCTCACTCAGAAATTTCTTCCTTCTTTTCTAGTTTCTAGGATATCTAGTTCTGGCCCTTGTTTTGTCTCTTTGACCACGCCTTCACTAAATCTTGGATTGTTTTCTTTCTATTAATACAGTAGAAATTTTATGCCCTCATGGTTCTACCTTCAGATTACTTCTTAAAGTATACAGTTCCCTTAATGATCTCTTTCTTACCTAGGACTTCTTTTACTACCTAGAAAATGATAAGTCTATAATCTCGTTTGTGAGATGTGGAGAAAAAGATATCAGGATCCCTGGCAATTTTATTTATACAACTTGAACCTGATCTTTTTTGGCCACTGCTAACAGAATCAGGAATGGATACTAGACATTAGATATAGGAGACTTTAGAGCAATCTAGTTTTAAAGGACTGAAGCATCATTTACTCTATATTGTTTGCCTGAACTGATGGCATATAAATGTAGATCACCTGAATATGTATGCAGGGAACACCAAACTACAAAGAGAGAAATACATAAATAAATCTGATGAACTGAAAGAAGCTTACTAGAGGTGTAGGAAGGAAGATGGGGGAAGAGAAGAAAAGGAGCGATTACATAAGGCAGCCAGATACAGAGATATACAGGTAACTGGTTCCTGCAAATCCTAACCATCTAGTTTTTAACTGTAGTCCCTAAGGGGCCCAGCTATCATCGTTATAGTTGCACTTGCAACTAACTACCTTTTATGCTTAAGATGGATTGAAGTGACTGCTATTTATATCCAAAATGCCATCAACATTGAGTTCAGAGTTTGAACTCAGGCAGGGTCTTCTGTTTGATTGGCAAGCACTCTACCACTTGAGCAATTTTTCTGCTGGTTATTTTGGAGACAGAATCTCCATAACTTTTCTGCACAGGCTGATCCTGTGGATCTCAGCCTCCTGAGTAGCTGAGATAACATGTGTGAGCTACTGGCACATAGCCAAAAGACACTTTTATATTTGTTGAATTGATTATGTAATAAAATATTTAATCATGTATATATATATACATATACGTATGTGTATGCATATATGAATGAGCGATTACACAGGCAACAAGCTCAAACTTGCTCCTCTCACTGTATAAAAGATTTACCATTTTCCAAATCACACAAGTCAAAAAATTGACTCATCTTTGATCCCTAGAGAAATCCACAGTCTATTCCATACACATTTCACTGAACACTTTGTCTTTAATTCTGTTTTTCCTGAAGCAGGGCCTCATTATATAATCCAAAGTGGCCTCAAATTCTCAATCTTCTTGCCTCAACTTACCAAGTAATGGGATTACCGGTATCTCCTACCATGCTTGGCTTTCTACTGGTCTATTAACCATGAGCAGTCTAGGAGTTCAGAATAGGACAAAAAGGAAAAAAGTAGTAATATTTAACATTCTTGTTGATTGGGTACAGTGAATTAATGGATTTGAATAAGTCAAGCAATACTTACTTAATATTGGATTTTAAGTATTATATTTAGGGACAATATAGAGAATCCTGGTCTTCAAAGAGTTCACAATATAAAAAAATGGAGATTAAGAAGTACATCAAGGGCTGGGAAGATGGCTCAGTGGTAGAGCACTTGCCTTGCATGCATGAGGCCTTGGGTTCCATTCCTCAGCACCACATAAGCAAAAAGAAAAAAGCTGGAAGTGGCGCTGTGGCTCAAGTGGTAGAGCGCTAGCGTTGAGCTGAAGAGCTGAGGGACAGCGCCCAGGCCCAGAGTTCAGGCCCCATGACCAGATTCCAAAAAAAAAGAAAAAGTACAGCAAACACTTTGCGATTTCTATAAAAGATGACATCAGCTATCTAGCAGATGACAAAAAATAAAAAAAGAACAACTCACTGGGTGCTGGTGGCTCACACCTGTAATCCCAGCTACTCAGGAGGCTGAGATCTGAGGATCACGATTCAAAGCCAGCCTGGGCAGGAAAGTCCATGAGACTCTTATCTCCAATTAACCACCAGGAAACCGGAAATGGTGCTGTGGCTCAAGTGGTAGAGTGCTTGCCTTGAGCTGAAGAGCTCAGGGACAGAGCCCAGGCCTAGAGTTCAAGCCCTACAACCGACCAAAAAAAAAAAAAAAAAACCCTAGGGAGAAGAATATCAGAATTCCTAATTTGTACAATCTCCCCTAAGTTTTCATTTACCTTAACTTTTCAGCTTATTAAATTTGTTGATAGTGAGACTGCAACTTTACTTGCTAAGCATCTAATGGCTCAGTCTTACAAAAATTATAGTACAAATTTACATTATACAGGAAACACAGTGCTAATGTTTATGTGCTTCAGCATGATTACCTATCAGTAAAACAAATATTTACCAGTTCACAGAGAAAAGGAATGAGTAGATAAAGCAATTGAGGCAAAATTTAGATGGCTATTTTGAAAATTTGGCTTCTTGAAAGCAAGGACTAGGTTGAATCATTCTCAGCAATCTTAACCATGCATAGTTCTTGTTCTTCTAACTTATGACTGTTATTCAAATTACAAAGTATAGCCACTACAATTTTTCCTTTATAAATAACTCTAATAGCCGAAACAATATTTATAATAGGTCAAGAATTTGCAAAATTCCTCTTGGAATTTTAATATGGATTGTATTAAATCTATGGGTCAAATAGGCAATAACTGCCATATCAATAATACTGAGTCTTCTAATCAACTAATGTGAACTTTCCCCTCATTTATATGGATTTTCTTAAATTTCTATATGCAATATCTTAGTTTTTAGTATAGTTATACTCTTGTTAATTAAATTCATTTCTAAGTAATTTATTCTCTTGATGCTAAAATGGTTGGAATTATTTCCTACATTTCATTTTTGTATTGCTCATTGTTACGTATATAGATATATAATTGATTTTCTTCTTTTTTGTAGTGGGAATCAAATCTAAGGCTTTATATATGCTAGGAACGCATTCTACCTAAGCTATACTGACAAGCTTGATTCCTAAATATTGATCGCATATTGTATAACCAGGTTGAATTCATTTATTATTTATATCTTTGTATTTCCTAATAGACGTTCATGCCATCTATCAACAAAGACAGTTTTAATTCTTCCTTTCTAATATAAATGTCTTCTATTAATTCTTTCTGATTGCACTGGTTAGAATCTCCAATATGATACTGAATAAAAAGTAGTGAGATCCTGGGCTGGGAAGGTAGCTCAGTGGCAGAGCGCTTGCCTTGCATGCCTGAGACCCTGGGTTCGATTCCTCAGCACCACATAAGCAAAAAAGGAAAAAAGCCGGAAGTGGCGCTGTGGCTCAAGTGGTAGAGTGCTAGCCTTGAGCTGAAGAGCTGAGGGACAGCGCCCAGGCCCGAGTTCAGGCCCCACAACTGGACCCCAAAAAAACCCCAAACAAACAAAAAAGTAGTGAGACCCTATATTTTGATTGGGGAAAGGCACTCAATATTCTTCTATTAAGTATGATATTAAATGTTTTTGAATACACTACCAAGTTGAAGAAGTCTCCTTCTATTTGTAATTTGAGAGTTTTTTTTCCTTTATCACTAATAGGTGTTAGATACTGTCAGATGCTTTATCTGCATCTATTATCTGCCATATATCACATTTTCAGATGTTAAACCAACTTTCTATTTCTGAGGTGAATCCCACTGGGTCATGGTACTTATGTACCATGTACCTTATCCTTTCTGAATATTGCTTGATTAAGTTTGCTAATATTTTGCTGAAGATGTTTATGCTTACATTCATAAGGGCTCTTGGTTCTACAGGCTTTTTTTGAGAGAATTATATCAGAGTAATACTATTTTTATCATATGAGTTATTTCCCTTCTCTTTTTTAGTTTGTGAAGGATTATTTTCTTTTTCATGTTTGTAATGTGGCACAGATTTGCAATCCTCACTACTCAGGAGGTTGAAGCAGGAGGCGTTTGAGTCAGAGGGCAGCAGGAGCAATAGAGTGGGATTCTAGGTTTGATCACCCCTGACACTGTCAAAACAAAAATGTTTGTAAGATGGCAGCTCTTTTTTATGTCTTTAATCTTTGTGCTTTTCCATGCATTTAACAAAGGGTTTTACCCCAATAAAGTATTTGGAAATGAACTGCATTATGCAACTATATACTAGAAATGGCTAAAAAATGTTTAAAGGTCTCAAATTTCAACCAAAGTTGGTCCTCAGAGTGATGTATTGGGAAGTAAAATCTTGAGATGAGACCCATAGTGGGAGGTTTTTGAGTCACTGGGGGGGGTATGATCTTTTGAGACTCTGCTCTATCTATCTATCTATATCTTTGCTTCAAGATAGCTTCAAGATAGCTTCAGTTATGACTCAGACTCATGCTCGTACCATTGCCATGTGCTTTATGCAGTAATACTGTCAAGGAGCAGCCCTCATTTCAGAGTCTGTGGTATGCCGTTTAAATTTGAACCTATATATAAAATGGTGAGCTAAATTGAGCTCTTCTTCATAAGGTATTTCATTATAGTGACAAGAAGATGATACATACAGAAAGCAATTTGTAAGTAATTAAACAATTAAAAGTTTGAGAAAACTGAAATATTTACTTACTAGGTAATAGCTCTCTATCAGCAGTCTCTGTGCAGCTGGGATAAGGGTAAAATAGATGTCCTTTCTCTAATGGGTATGGAATCATTCTAAAAGCTGAAGGGGGAAAAAACATGTTAATATTTAATTCTCTCATTTACCATCCCATGCTATAGATCAAAACTACGTTGGAGACTTTTTAAAATAAAAAATTCATGTAAGATTTTCTTTTTAGACATTTTAGATGAAATAAAGTAAGCAAAAGAATGAATAGGTTAAGGAATAAGACTTATTTATAGAATAGTAAATTATCTAAAACAAAATGGAGCAGTAGATGATTCGCTAGGTCCTTCTTTGTCAGTCTCCTCAATACACTTATGGACTTCATTCCACAAGTATAAATACCACTTCTTTGGAGAATCTTCATAGAATTGTATGGACTTAAATTTGCAACCTAAAAGAGTTTTTAATGACTCCTAACTTCATGAGAGAGATTTCACAGAAGTTTTCTATGAGTGGGGCTAAGAACTGCTAAATTATGGTCCTTTCATTAGATCCAGTTATTTGCTTAAAGTAATTCAGGAAGTCAGTGATACTATGAGGAAATAATTCAAAAAGATGCATGAATTAAGCCAGCTTCTATAATCCTAGCTACTCAGGAAGCTGAGATCTGAAGACAGCAGTTCCAAGTCAGCCAAGGTAGAAAACTCTGTGAGACTCTTATCTCCAATTAACTAGCAAAAAGCAAGAAGTGGAGGTATGGCTCAAATGGTAAAGCACCAGCCTTGAGAAGAAAAAGCTAAGTGAGAGCAGGATGCCCCAAGTCCACTCCAGTACCATCACAGACACAGACATAGAAACATACACATATATACACACGTGCACACACACAGATGCATGAATTATAGTGTAAATGATATATTTATTTTTTAATAATATGTTTATTAAAAGCCCATATGTGGCAGGTAGAATGCCAGGCATTAAGGCATATATAAAATGCATGAAGAGAGTACCTGGTTTTGAGGGACTTACAGACTACTAGAGAAAGCTGAAAAACTCAAAGACATTCAGGTCCTTAATTATATTATTTGTTTCATTATCAGTGTCAAGCACAGTGTATGACTGTTAGTAATTGTTAACACAGAAGTTTCTAAATTCTGTTGGTTCAAGGATACATGGTGCCATTCACTTCTCAGTAATAGTAGTAGTAGTAGAAGTAGTAATATTTTGTTGCTGAGAATTGAACCCAGGGCATAATGCATGCTAAGCTTGTACTTAGCTATACCCACTGAGCTATACCTACAGCTTCAGTGTCTTTGTATTTCACTTCTAAATAATCATTTCAGCAGGGTATGATGGTGCACACTTGCAGTCTCAACTACTCAGGAAGCTTAGGGAGGAAGATCACATGAACCCAGGAATTCAAGACCAGTCTAAACAACAACAACACAAATACATCTAAAAACAAAAAGTATTATTTCTTATGAATGAGATATATTTATGAGCCTGTTAAACACTAAACAACTGCTTAAACAGTGGGATCATACTTGGATACTTAGTACTTTCTATAGAAAGTACTAAACACTGTGTGGTACTTCTTTTAATCACAGTAACTCACAAACAGCTTACTGTAAAAGTATAAAAGTTACTGTTACAAACATGGAAAGAAATGGAGCCTGACATAATGCTGAAATTGTGAATTATCTGGAGATAATAGTTTGAGTGGTATCCGACAGATGTTAAATATTATTGTATTTCCATGAAAAATTTAGAATATAGTCAGGCGCTGGTGGCTCACATCTATAATCCTAGCTACTCAGGAGGCTGAGATCTGAGGATCATGCTTTGAAGCCAGCCAGGGCAGGAAACTCCATGAGATTTTTATCTCCAATAAACTACTCACAAATGCTGGAAGTGGTGCTGTGGTTCAAGTGGTAGAATGCTAGCCCTGAGCATAGAGACTCAGGAACAGTGCCCAGGCCTAGAGTTCAAGACCCAGGACAGGCAAAAAATAAAAAAATAGAATATTCCACGGTACTTTTGGGACTTCCTTTCAGGTTCCACAACACCTTATTGCAAAGTTTGGGAACACTTTTTTTTTTTTTTCTGGTCATGGGGCCTGACCTCTGGGCCTGGGTACTGTCCCTCAGCTCTTCAGCTAAAGGCTAGCGCTCTACCACTTGAGCCACAGTGCCACTTCCAGTTTTTTCTGCTTATGTGGTGCTGAGAAATCGAACCCAGGCCCTCATGCATGCAAGGCAAGCATTCTACCACTGAGCCAACTGCCCAGCCCTGGGAACACTTTTAGTTAGTAACAATGAACTTAGTTTTGAAGTTTTATTAACAGTTAAGGTATGCTGTGAGTCCTGCTGATAAAATAAGCTTCTTCTTTTTTTTTTTTTCTTTTTTTTGTCACTTGTAGGTCTTGAACTCTGGGCCTGAGTGCTGTCCCTGTACTCTTCAGCTCAAGGTAAGCACTCTACCACTAAGCTACAGTGCCACTTCCAGTTTCCTGGTGGTTAACTGGAGATAAGAATCTCAAGGACCTCCCTGCCTGGGCTGGCTTTGAACTGTGATCCTCAGATCTCAGCCTCCTGAGTAACTAGGATTATACGTGTGAGCCACCGGGTGCCTGGATTCTTCATTTTCTTAATGGTTAAGAAGCTATAAATAAGAGATTTAGAAGTTAGTTAAAAAGAGTCCAATTTACTCTCAAAGAAAACATACACACGAACCACTAATCATTAGGAAAACGCAAATCAAAATCACAATGAGACCCTACTTCATACCCAGTAAAGTGGTTATTATCAAAAATGAAAACAGAAAATAGGAAATGATGATAAAGACACAAAGAAATTGTAACTTGTGTCTATGGCTGATGGGAATGTCAAAAGTTGCAGCTATTATAGAAATCAGTATAGTGATTCCTTTAAAACTAAACATAGAATTTCACGACAGAATTCTGGAGATGGATGGTGATGATTGCACCTTAATAATGTGAATATATGCAATGCTACTTAACTAAACACAAAATGGTTAAAATGGTAACGTTTATGTTTACATGTATTTTAGCACAGTTTTATACATTTCAATTTTTACTTTGTACATACTTCAAAACAAAATCAGACCAACGTCTAAAGTATTTTTACAAGGTTTAAGGGTGCAGCTCAGTGGTAGAACAATGAGTAAGGCCTTATGTTTGATCTCCCCCCTCTACACACAATCAAGCCACATTAAAAATCTTACAAGGTAAAGAATTTACATTTTCCTTTTCTTTCATTACAAATATTTAACTTAAATAGTTCTCATTCTGCTTTTACTAAATGTGGAACTCAGAAACCTAGACAATTCATTTAAGAAGGTGGCCTGTAGTCAGATATTAGCATTACATTTGGAAAAGAATACTCACTGCCTTCCCATGTACACTGCAACAGATTAAGAGCACCTTCTATCCGTTTCCAGTGCTGAAGATGGAAGAATGCATAGGCAATTGCTTCACTATCACCTCGTTTCAGAATGTGTTCTGGAGGTAAAATTAAACTTTTCATCTCTAGTAAATACTGTAGAAATAGCACATACACAACAGAAAAAAATTAAAAAAGTAAATAGTATTAAACTCAATTACAAAATATTCAAATACCATAAAATCAAATTGATTTTTTAAAAAACACATAAAACTAGTGGAGTTATATGAAGGTCCTTCTGAAAACTTGTATATACAATGTTACATATACAAATCCCTCAAATCAGAACATTTGTACAGGTAAAAATAAGGTGATAAATACCTGTGTGACCTTACTAAATCTGAAATGTAAACTAAAGCTGAGGAAATTAGGTAAGTACACCGAACTTATTTATTTTCCAAAAAAGAATTATACATGAACATAAAACATATTTGTGGAACAATATTGTGTGGCAGCATTTAATTATTTTGCTTTGATTCCCAATTTATCAGTGAAAAGCTTACATCTCAAAAATGTAATTAAGTTAATATTTACAGAATGTAAAGCACTATTAGTTACTAAAACACAGTCTGTTCTCTGAAGCTCCATAATACAATGGGAAATTACATGAATATTTCTTAATAATTATAATCAGACTGTGGTAAGTCCCTTATTAGAAGTATGAATAATGTACTTGGATAAGAAATTTGTGCCAGGCCCAAGGCTTGGATTCAGGGCCTAGGTCCTTTCTCTGAGCTTTTGTACTCAAGGCTAGTGCTCTATCACTTGAGTCACAGCTCTACACTACTTCTGGCATTGTGGTGTTTGACTAGAGATCAGAATCTCATGGACTTTCCTGCCTAGGCTGACTTCAAACCACGATCCTCAGATCTCAGCCTTCTGAGATCTTCTGGATTACAGGATTATAGGTATGAGTTGCTAGCACTCAGCTAATTTTTATTTTGTTTTAAAAACAGCTTTATTGAGATGTAATTCATATACCTTGGAATTTCCCATCTAAAATGATATTTATTATGTTCAGATATGTTTATCCATCACCACAGTTTTAGAAATTTTTCATTTCCTTAGGAAGAAGTCCTGTGCCCTTTACTATCATTCTGTATTCCCTTATTTCCTCAACTTCCCTAAACAAATAATAACCTATTTTCTCTCTCTCTCTCTAATCTGTCTGCTCTGGGCACTTCATACAAATAGAATAGCACAATTTTGTGGTCTTCAGTGTGACTTTTTTCCCATGGAGCATGTTTTCAAGGTTTATCCACATTATAGGACATTTAGGTACTCTTTTTTTGTGATAAAATCATTTCCTTGTATAGACCTATTACATTTTATTTATCCATTCATCATTTATCCATCCCTTTTACCAATCCTCCCTATACAGTCCAGGCTAGCCTTGTGCTCACTGTGTATTTTCCAAGCTAGCCATGAACCTACAATACTTCAGCCTCATCCCCTAAAGTGGAGGAATTACAGGTATGTATTACAATCCCTGTCTTAGTTCAAACTATTTAAAGCTCTTCCCCCACCCCCTTGATCCAAGACTGGGACTCCAACTCCATACCTGCATCCGCTTTCACTCACTATCTAGCACTCTACCAACTGAGCTATGCCTGCAACCCCTTATTTCAAACTCTTGAAGAAATTATTTGTCCTACTATTATCTATAACACAAGCAATGTAATCACAATTACTACACTCATCAGGTTTACATTAATAAAGGCACAAAATCAGGCACTTATGCATCATCTTTACTACTAGTCATCTTAAAACAAAGTGTTTAGAATATTTTAGTTAGCTGATATCCCTCCATAAAGACAGAGGCCAAAATGTACTTCCTATAGAATAGGCTTGAAAATTGTATTTTAAGAGAAGGTGTCTCAAAAGATATATTCTTACATTTTAAATTCTGGTATCTCAGGTTGTTATACAAACAATTAGCAAAAAGCGTTTGTGAAGGCTGGGAATGTGGCTTAGTGGTAGAGTGCTTGCCTAGTGTGCATGGAGCCTTGGATTCAATTCCTAAGTACCACATACACACACAGAAAAAGCCAGAAGCAGAGCTGTGGCTCAAGTGGTAGAGTGCTAGCCTTGAACAAAAGAAGCTTGGGGACAGTGCCAAGCCCTGAGTTCAAGCCCTGGGCCTGGCAAAAAAAAAAAAAAAAACCCAAAACAAAAAAAGTTTGTGAACTACTTTCTACGACTGCCACAAGCAACATGGTTCCAGAAGAATCTTAAAGACAAAAAGACGTGGCTTCAAAATGTAAGCCTTATGTAATTCGTTAATATGATGTACTCATAATATTTATACATCAAAAATATTTTTTCTTCTTTATGAAGAAGCTTCACGCCCATCTTTAATTACTTAACTCTTAATGTTTCTGGGCCTTGTCCTCAAAGTTTAAGCAGGTAGTCTGGTTATCAATTTATTTTAGCAGATGTCACAAACTATGAGATTATTTACTAATCCAGTTTGGGGACTTAAAGGAATGCGGCAGAGGTTGTGTCCTGGTCAAGCAAAGCCCATTTGCTGCCTGGTTGGGTTTTCTCCCCTCAGTGACTTAGGCCTATATTCAGGAAGGTCATATTCTTCCTAATCCTCTCTAATCCTTGCCCAGTTTTTGGAAACACAGTAGAAGATCACTCACACCAGGCATCTGTGGGAAAATGGACTCAACTAGCTGACCTCTGACATGACTCCGTGTGCTCTTTGCAAGTGCATTGAGAGCTTCTTTGCTTCAGTAGCAGCAAAGACAATGTGGCAACCACGGTGGTATCACCATCAGAAAGAGAATTTTATTTTCAGAAGAAAACTGTTTAATTCCTAAACCAGAGCCTTCCTATCCTGCTTAAATTTTGCTTAAATTTTGCTTAAATTTTAGAGAAGAAAATTTTTTTCCAAATTATTTCCATGAGTTTTCGAATGTAGAAGCTTTAAACCGTATCACAACATGACATTCAGAGTTTTGGTAACCACTGAGAAAATATAAGCAAAACTATTTTTAATAAACATTATTTAGTAAAATTTATTGACCACATCAATTTGATGACACATCAAGAATATGCTTTTGTTGAACAACTATATATTTACATTTTCACTAGTTAATATAATCTGTATCCATGCAGATGGTATTAAGTATATGGTAATGTAATTAGGAAATTATAATTCAAGATTTTTCATTTTAAAAATGTTTGCTATTGAATTGTTTTCAGACAAGGTCATGCTATGGAGCCCAATTAGACTTGAATTCACAATTCTCTTGCCTCAGCATCCTGAATGCTGAGCTTATAGGTATGCATCACCATACTTGCCTCTAATTATTTTTATGTGTTCCTTATACTACTTAAAAAAATTATCTTCCAGCAAATGTCCTTTTCAACTTGGTTCTAAAGCAAAGCAAAATTTTAGTTTCTGCACTGACATTGAAATAAAATTTGGCTCCTAAAATTTAAGAAAGTTTCAGTTTAAGAAAAATGTATTTAATATGTTCAATGTATACCTCAATAATAGAATGTGTACTTGGCATACGTAGGCTCTAGGTTCAATCCAAGCTGTGCATGTGCACATGTACACACACACACACATATTGTTTAAATGCTATAGAATTATTACTTAATTTACCTCCTTCAGAAACTGTTATTTAGGAATTTCTGCAATTGCTACAGAATAAGCACTCTATTGTCCATGTGCATGTAGCACATTACAGTACCTAAACTCATCTGATGTAGATAGCAAAAATGTGTTCAAACTCAAATTTCAGGAGTTTTTGTTGTTGTTTGGCTTTTGTGTGTGTGTGTGTGTGTGTGTGTGTGGTACTTGAGATCTGAATTTAGGGTGTTGAGTTTGCTACCCCAGTACTATACTGCTGAGCCATGCCTCCAGCATTGTTTTTCACAAATTATTTTTTACAATAGGGACTTGATCCCATCTGGCTGTCTAGCATTGCTAGGACCACAGGTGTACCACCTCATTCAGTTTCTCTCCATGGAGAGTTTGTCTGCCCAGGCTGAGTTTCTCTGCCCTGAGGACCTACAACCATCCTCTCAATTCACATCATTCTACATAGCCACCATGTGCCTATGGATTTAGAAAAAAATCTTGCAAACTTTTCTGCCTTTTTCTGTTCTTTTCAATTTGGCTCTAAAGCAATGTAAATTTGGTATGTCAAGAAAATGTCTGTCCAGGACAATGACAATCTACTAATTCTCAACTTTCAAGTAGCCAGAGTTATTGAAATGAGCCACTAGTGCTCAGCTGGGTCTCACATTTTTGATCCCTTATCTATGCCCTCTCATAGGTTGGATTGCAAGCTTATGCTCAGCTTATTCACTGAAATGGAACCTTACTAACTTTCTACCTGGGCTGACCTTATACTGTGACTCTACCAATCTTCATCTCTTGAGTAGATAAGATTATAAGCATGAACTACTGTACCCAGTCTACAGTTCAGTTTTTACTTAAGGTATTTTCTAACTCTGGGTAAACTAATAGTAAACAAAACCCTGCTATACAGACTTCTTTTCTAAGAATATGAAAGGCTAAAAACTAAAAGACACTTATTTGCTTTCTTCTCTTTTTTTTCTGCATAGTAAAGTATAATCTGAGTGTACAAAACTGCTAACATAACAGATAGGCAACAAAAAATAAAACATTACATGTTTAGAGAATAAAAGAATGAAAAAATAATCTGATGCTTGTCTAGATTTCTCCTTTAAACATAATATACACATTCCTTCCCCCCCTCTCTCCATTCTTCCTTTTATTTTGTATCATTGAAGATTGAACCTAGTGCCTTGTCCATGCTAGGAAAGTGCTCTACCACTGTAATGTATCATAATCTCTATGCACAGTATACTGAGTCTATTTTTTCAAAAATTAGAATCAAACTTTAGGTAACCCACTTTTTATTACATGTATCTTGGACATAGCTTTCTGTCTAAATTTTTCTAACTTTTTAATTATCACACATCGGTACATTAAAAGCTGTTATTTCATAATATACATTAACAAATAATATCATGCTAGAATTGCACTACCATCTTTGAAAGATACAGTATCATTAAAACATGAAAATTTGTTTTGTTTTGTTTTTTGGGTC